CACACACACACACACACTAAAGAAAAAACAAGAAATTTAAAAGAAGTACAGTGTTTAGTTTGCAAGTGGTAGAGATTCACCTGTCAAGCCTCCATTATGATTTCTGGTTGTTCCATTTAAGTAGAAGACTTTTTATGGTCTTAAATGTAGACATATCTTATGTCATTTAATAGGGCCAATCTTGCTGGAAGATGCATATCCTCTTAAGAAGACTGTATATTGTGTGTTCTATGGTAAAGAGGAAATTGTGTTTCTTTCTGCCTATATGTGTATAGAGCAGACAACCCACATCAGCCCATTCCTCAGTTCCCTCCCTTCTTCAGAACTGACTTTTATCACATCACAAAATCTCTCTTTCTCTCCATTTCTCCATCATATAATGGCCTATGGAGCTGGGTGGTGCTGTGGATAGATTCAGCCAGCCTGCACTGTGTCATTTCTATTTTTTCTGTTTCTCCACTATGATGCAATGATCTCTTTAACACGATAATACCAACCTCCAACTTACATTTCTGAAAAGGACATAATTTCCCTCTTCTTGATGATGAAGTGATTCGCGCACACACACATGCATACATAAACATACATATCCACACACATGAGAACCTATTTTTAAATCTTCTAATGTCTTGATAGCCTGGTTATGAGAGCCTCATGAAGTATGTGCATATATCTGGCATGCACTCACTTCTATCCTTCAGATTCATACTTCCAGTCATACTACTAGATTGTATGGTATCTACTTTGGGTTTTATTGAAGCACCTCCATACTGATTTCCACCGTGGTTTCCCATAACATGGTCTGAGAGGAAGTGTCCCCATCTACTCGGACTTGGTAGCTGCTCTCTTTGCAAAGCTATTGAACATGGAAACGGCTTGGATAATTATTTCTTTGATGGAGTATGTGGCACCTTTTGATATCAGCTTCTCCTCTGAATGGAAAGAGCATGAATGGCAGCCTCAGCGTGGTGAAACCTGAGATACTGTCCCCACAGAAGATCCTCAGAGGCTCAGCTGAGTTGGCCCCAGGTTAGACTGCTGATGCAAATTCCTTCCTTGGAGCTGCTCACATTCTCTGCTCTTCCTCAGTGCCCAGAACTGCTCAGGATCACAGATTCTATCTGCCACCCATGCTTCTCACTTTCTTAATATACTTTTCCACAGGAAGAGGGATGGGAGGACCTGGATAATAGCAGCAGAAGAGCCGGAGGGAGTTTCTGGGCATCTGGTAGATCACGCGGCACATGGGACCATCCAGGAATTTCAGGGAGGTTTGATGTTGGCATCATGAAGTTAGAATGTACTGGTGGTAGACTATTGGAAGTGTGTATATATGTGTGTGTGCGTGTGTGTGCACCCACATGCTGACATGTATATGTGTATGTGTTGTACACCTATGTGGGTGAAGGTGTGTGTGTGTGTGTGTGTGCATGCGTGTGCATGAACAGAGGCCAGAGGACCTCAGGTGTCCTATTCTATCATTCTCCACCTTATTCGTGATACAGAGTCTCTCTCTGAATCTGGAGCTTGTGTGTCAGCCACCGAGTCCCAGTGATGCTCATGTCTCCACCTCTACAGGGCTGCAGCCATATATGGCTTTTAAAAACATGGTTATGCAAATGTGAACTCAAGTCCTCATGCTTGGGCAGCAAGTGCTCTTGCTCATGCTATTCTCCCAGTCTCTGGAAGCCTTTAAGGAAGCTAATGATATGTGGATGTAAACTTCTTTGCTCTGTCTCCTCCACTTACATAAGGATGGGCTAGCAACAACCCTGGCCCTGCAGAAATGCCATCCTCTCTGACCTAAAAACTGACTGCCTTGGTTTAATGCTGTTCTCATGAATGGTGATTTATACTCACTCTTGTGTTCAGCCAAAATGATTCCTGGCTTTACATATTTAATGCCCTATGGTGTTTACTTTTAATTGTCAACTTCATATCATCCAAAATCACTTGGAAAGAGTGCCCCCATGAGACATTGTGTAAATAAGGTTAGCATGTAGGTGGGAGATTATCTGTTCATTGAGCAGTTAGACCAGCCCACTGAGGGTGGCATGATTCCTTGCCGTTGAGTACTGAAACTTGTAGGAATGGAGAAATAAGTTATTCAAATAGTTATCATGCTTGCATTCTCTTAGCTCTTGACTGTGAGTGTGACTAAATGCTTTAGCTTTTTCCATTATGGATTTTATGCTGTGATGGAATATATCTTGGAGTTGTAGCTAAAATGAATTCTTTCTCTGGAACATTGCTTTTGTCAGGAAATTTTTATCACACCAGTAGAAATAAACTAATGAATCATTGCTATTGTCAGACATTGGGGGTTTTGATATATATATATATATATATATATATATATATATATTCTTGTCTATTTACTCATGATAGATGATATGCTGCCTGCACAGGAACCGATTCCTGGATGTTCTATGATGGCGTCCTCAGAGGGTAGCAGCTGCTATCCTCATCCAACAGGTGTGACTACTTAAAGAGATCCTCAGATTCAAGTCCATTGGCTCACTCACATCTGGGATCCATGAGCTTCTAACCACACATCTGCGGCACTTGCATGTACTGCTACCCTTTCTGCATGAGGTCTCAAGGCATCAGCAGATCTAAACAATGGAAAATTAACTGAAGACAGAAGTCTGTCTATGCAGCTGTGGGGAAGCCATTAGCCATGATGGGGTGAGACTTCCCAGTCGTGCAGCTGCTTTAAGGTCTCCCACAGTCCTGTGGATAACCCTTCATCCACTGTATGTAAGGAAGCCCAAGCAACTCACTGATTCCCAGTTAAACTTTTGTGGAGATGTCCTTTAATTTGTCATTGGTGTCCCATGAGGAGCAATGCAAGTTTTTACATACTGTAGGACATGAATTCTGGGAACACTGGGCCCCAGGTAGAGCCCCTTACCAGTGGCAGTGGGATTTCTAAACACAGAGAACCAGCCTCACAGGAGACACTGTGAACCAAGGAGAGTCAAGTACTGTGAAAGAGAAACTAAAAGGCTCCCGGGAATTTTATCCTAATGTGACAATACCTCAAGGCCTAAGTGGTTAAGAGGCTCATTACTAAATAATCTCTAGACCTTCAGAGCCTAAAACATCCAAAGACTTCCTCACTCCCCTCCTCCCTCCCATCCCCCTTCCTGTTCATATATAAGCATGTGTGCCTACATGAGTGTGTGAGCACCACATACACATGGGAGCCTGCAGACATAAGAAGAGGATGTTAAATCTTCTGGAGTCATGGGTTATTTGGGGTCAATCAATGTGAGGGCTTGCAACAGATCCTAGGCCCTCTTCAACAGGAATAAGAGCTCTTAACAACTCAACCACTTAACTCTTAACCAATGAGTCATCTCTCCAGTCCCTGGTGGCTTTCTTTTGTAACTGTTAAATCTGTTCTTGAACAATCCTCCACATGTATAAAGTGCATACTGACCCCTCTCGTTCTCAGCCTCTTCCATCTCCCTAACACCTCTGTCCACTCCCTACCCTCCCACAAGTCTCACTCATGCCCATATTTGTTTATTTGTGTGTGACCTCCTGAATTTAGTCAGGGTCATGTGTGTGATCCTGGGTCTGGTGTTCTCCATGGTACCTGGTGGGCTCAGCAGTGGGAATACAACCAGAGACAATGATTTTCCTCTATCAGAATGTATAACTACTGTTCTGAGATAATGGATAGGGCCCTGTTAGCACCTGCCCATTCCTTGACTGACAGGGCAAGTCTTGCATGGGTCTAGTGCAGGAACTGCTGTTGTGAGTTAATGACTGCAATAATTGTATAGATACTAGAGAATGACAATGTGCAGCCATTGACCCCACCCACTGTCTCTTACATACTTTCTGTACCCTCTTCTGAAATGTTCCCTGAGCCTTAGAGTGTCATGGCTATATGTATTCTTAGGGATGAGCCCACAACCATCACTTATTCCAAATATCTTGGGCAGCCACCAGCCTCTGAATTCACTGCTGTTCATTGCAAGAATACTTTCTTAATACCCTCTCTAGTTTATTCCCAGATATTGCCTAAGAGAAGATTGTAAATGACTATCAGGTTTAACTTTCTGAGAAGTTACATATCTGTTTAAAGACAACGAAAGAAACTTGGTGTATAGGTCAGGATAATCATCAACACTCCAGTTAGGAAGATAATGGAGAAACATGCTGTAGAAAAGAGGGGTTCACTCATCAGATAGCCTTACTGCTTATGCTCTCCCTGTACCTCTTTCCTCCCCTAATAAAATACATTAGTATATTTGGGCTCCCAAGATGAACCTTAGGTGGTGACAGCCCTTCCTGTTCAAGGAAGGTAAATGTTCAATACACAAGATTCCTTTCTACCAATTCTTATCTCTTATTCATTGGATCTGATTGACATACTTCTTGTTGCTATGATAAAATACCCAGACAGAAAACAATATAGGAATGGAAGGGTTTATTTTGGCTTATGGTTACAAGGAGATAAAGGTCACAGTGTTTGCAAAGGCAAAGTAACAGGCAGGGACAGAGAAAGCATGGCACAGGAACAGGAAGCTGGATGGTCATATTTTCATCCACACACAGGACCCAGTGAAACAGCAAGCGAGGTGAGAATATAAACTCCAAAACCCATCCCTACTGATGTGCTTTCTCTAGCAAGGGTCCAGCTGCTAAAGGTTCCATAGACTCCTCAAACAGCACTACCTACTGGAAAACAGGGGTTTGACTATCAAACCTGTGGGGAACACTCTCAGTCAAACCACCACAAATGGTGATGCATCCTGAACTTTATCCAGGAAGAAACCACAACCTCAATCAAACCAAACTGTAGGCACAGGAGAGGGCAGAGAGTCGAGAGCGCCTTTGGGAACACGGTGTGTGGAAAGTGGAGCCAGGGCTATTGCTGGAAGCCCAATACCCACAGAAAAGCAGAAGGAACTGAAATGAATACACGTGAAGACTGAATAATTGATAAATATGTTTGACAAACAGTGGCCATGAGTGGACAGATTTCACCTAGAGCAAGTAGATGCAGGCTTCTTGCAGATCCAGAATTGCTCTAAGGAACATAAGTTATCAGTCCATCCATTATCTGAAAAGGCTGCGCAGTCTTCGTCACCCTTGTTATTTGGCTCCCTTGGAGACCAATATTTCCTGAAATTGAAAACCCCGAAATAACATGAGCTTCTTTCCCAGCCCTATGCTGTCAATATTTGTAACTGCTGGCACTAGGATGCTTTCACATCTATCCCATGTGCATATGGCAGCCATACCTCACCCAGAACCTGATGGCATGCCTAAGCTATTTCTGTGAGACTCCTTATTCTACAATATGGAATTCAAGAGACTTCAAATTGTGAAATGGAGGCAGTTTTATCTTTGCTCTTGCAGAATCGAGTGGCAGCCTGGACAAGAGGCAAAAAAGGGGGTGCCCTGCAGATTTGATGCAGAGCAGTGGTTTCTATATTCCTTACTGAATTTTTTCTATTCCCCTTTATTCCTCAATACTAAGTTGTTCAGCAAGGAATAATCTTTCCAGAGTCTAGGTTAGCCTCCTTCCCAAATTCCCATCCTATTGAGTCAAGACACAAAACATTGTCTAGAAAATATTCTGGGATGTGATTTTCTTTCCCCACCATCCCTGATACACGGGCTCATCACAGAGCAGCTTCTCTGTAACTTTGGAGCCCTAATGTAAACTGAGATCTGCTGACCGGCCAGCACCAGCAGGGGAAACCAGGGGCCTCCTGCTTATCTGTGAATCTCTGAAGATCTCTAAGCAGCCCTCATGCTAGAAATGGAACATTGTGACATGTCAGCGCACACAGACATTTCAGAGTAGCTTGGTTTACAACCATCCTGTTTCTTCCATGGACATCATAAAAAGGCTTGGACCTTGGTCCTTCCAACTGTTTCTTATCATGTTCACCACAGTGTGGGGCAATTCCTTTGTAGCTCCCACAATATCATGTGTCTTTAAGTGGGACAAGCTGTGGTTTGAAGGCAAGCTTACTGCTGTCTTTCAGATTCTCTAAGTACTCTGCATTAAATCATTTGTTGCCTCAGAACTGAACCTTTTGAGCAAAACAATCTCTGTTTTCATGGATCAGGTGTTTCTGCTCACAAAACCCATCTCAATTGGTCTTGTGAACAGTTCACATTTCCTATTAGGAGGGATTGGGAGGGCCATTGACTCCTCACCTGAGTTTCCAGCCACCCCTTCAGTGAATAGGAACTATTCACATTCCTGTAGCAGGAAAATCCTGCGATATCGACCACACTGCTAACTCCCCCTGCAGATCAGGTGGTGGAACTGAAAACTCACATCTGAACTCAACTCACAGAGAATCCCAATAAGCAGACATTCGGCCTAGCAGAACAAGGAGCAGGTAGGAACCACAACTGTGTCTTGGGACAAAGTTTCACCCCCAGCACACTGTATTACCTCCATTTCAGCAGTGAACCATCCACCCACAGCCATCTGCCTTCCTGTTTTAAGTCTGACAGCCCCATCCAGGTATAGTTTTTCTTCTTAGAAGTCTGCTGCAGGAAGCTCTGGAGGAGAAAGGGAGATGGGGCTCTGCTGTCATTTTCTATGTTTGTCCTCTCAGAGTCTAGACCCATAGTTCTGCTTGCGGTCAGACCCTCAGCTTTCTAGTGCAGCAGCAAACCCACACATGTGTTAAGACACCCCATACATGCTTTACACACACACATGTAGGGCCACAGATAGGATGATCAGGCCAGACCTCACAAAGTTATCTCTGATACATATAATTTAGAAACTGTGTGTGTTGTGACTTGACAGATAACAATTTTGGACATCTGGCTCCTTTTTCCTCAAATGTTTGTTAAACTAAATAATGTGACGTGAAATTTGCTAGCAGCTTCCCACACTTATAAAAGTCTGGTGTTTTCTAGGTTCTGAACATTTCTCTAGGGGTTATCTCTTCAGAGTAATAAACTTCATCTCTCTCCTCCACAGAAAAAAACTTCATCTCTCTCTCTCTCTCTCTCTCTCTCTCTCTCTCTCTCTCTGTGTGTGTGTGTGTGTGTGTGTGTGTGCATTGCACACATAAGTGTTAAGGTGTTTGTAGGTTAGAGGATAACTTGTAGGAGTTGGTTCTATTTCTATCATGTAGGTCTCAGAGATTCGATTCAGACCCCTGGGCTTGGTAACATGCACTTTTGCCCACTGAGTCATCTCACAGGCCCCAGAACAGCACTGTGAACTCCAATGGAAGTACTTGTTAAACTGGCCAGCCCTCAACAAGTGCCCCCTTCATATTAAGCATCCCCTAAAGTATGCAGCTAGGGTACCACTTTGTATTTATCTGAGTTCACATTCTAGGACCAGGCCCTCCCTATCTACAGCTGTGTTCTCTCCCCTTTTCATGTGTAGTCAAGAATACTTATCTGGGAAAGTCTATCTAACCAAAACCATGCCCACACAAGTGCAAAGCCCCACCTCAGCATACCTGCTCCTCATCACTCTTGATGACAACGAGTTGGGCACCTATTTCTTTGCAGGCAGTGACAGAGTCCTTCCAGGCCTGTTGGTATGTGGAGAAGAAGTAACAGTTTCCTTGGAAGAGGGTCCAGTCCCAGGGGCAGGGGCGGCACAGGTGGTCTGTTGGGGGAATGGTTCAAGTTGGACACATAAAAGCATCCATGTGTCAGCCTTTGGTCCCAGAGAGCTAGCAACTTCTCTTGAAACTGTGTACGGGGAAATATGTTCTTCTGTCTTTTGTTGTGTGTGTTGTATTCAAGTGTGTGGGCATGTGTGTGTGCATTGCTCTGTGTGTGTGATGTGGAGGTCCGAAGTGGATGTTGGAAATCTTCTTCCATTGCTCTATTTTTTTAAAGAAATAGTTATATAAACACACACACAATATATATATATATATGTATATATATGTATATATGTATATATATATTTGAAACAATAAAAATAAAAGATGGGAGGGGTTGCAAACAAGGGATGGAAATTATGTAACTGTAGCTTAGGTAAAATTTTTAATTAAAATATATATTTTTTACTTATTTTTGCACATGTAATACATAGACATTATTTTTGTATTGCTTTTTAGATTATGTAATTCAATTAGAAGGTTTCTCCTTTCTATTTCATCCCTCCAAATACTCCACTCCCCTTGGAATTTATGACATTTTAAAACTGTTATTGCATGCATATCTGTATGCAGTCAAAATCTTTTCATCAAATCCACCCATTCCCTCCTTTCAACCTCCTATCAGAACTATCCAACCACATATCCCTGTCAACTTCATGCACTGTTGTTTTAGTCTACTGAGTCCAACTGGTGCTGCCAGCCAGTGTGTCTCTCCTTCCTTCCTTCCTTCCTTCCTTCCTTCCTTCCTTCCTTCC